CTAACACTATTGTCACTAACCGGCTTACTTATCAGCGAAGGAGCTTGTCGCAATGGTCTCCTCGTGTTTCGACTTGCCGTGTATAATAGAAGTATATTCACCCTTCTTGTGTCGCTCTACAGATGACCACACCTGATGCATCACTGTTACTCTCATCAAACCACCAAAACCCCGTACCTTGGAGACCCATGGACAAGTGGTGTCCACTATGGTGACGCCTTTCCGCTTCAACTCCATCATTTCCTTTACAGCAGCTCCTAACACAGAGCTCTCAAAATTGTGTCACTAAAAACATAAACCCCTCCTCACCAAACGCTGGTAGGATGACCACGTCCCCAGCACTGACGACCGAGAAGTCCTTTTGATTGCCAGCATCTCGAGGAATGTACCTCAGCAAAAACGTACCACGTGAATTCAGTGAGCGCTCTCTACCTTATACCAAGCTCCTCGAGATTACGATTGACAGTCGGATTATGGATGACCTCGTTGGTCATCCATATGGTCTTGTCCGGATACCGACGTCTCGACTCGTAAGCTATCGCAACGGCTCTTTCTACTCCCCAGCAGAACCCTACCGAGACAACACCACAATTAGAATGTACTTTAGGTATTCGATAGCAATCAAAACCGAATCGGTAAGCACCGAGTATTCCGGTTTTCAAGCAACTAATAGGGCGTTGAAGATATTCTAACGAGACTGTTTCTCACGACTAGTGGTTTAGTACATATCCAATCCTATACTGTTGCCAAGGACCAGCGCTAGGTGGAGTTCCATCGACCCGACGTGTTGATATTACCATGCGCCTCAGCCAACTTGAAAGTGATATTGCCCACCGTCAGTGTGTAATCAGGAGATGACTGTATCTCCTCAACCAAAGTAGAATTGTGGACTTCCCTCAAACGCTGTCGCATCGCTGAATGAAGACCATGAGCAACCATCACAAAAGTCACTTCCTACTTTTCAGAGATGTGGCATCTGGCCGGTAGTATTTATCCGACCTCTGCAGCTGCTTTCGGAATACCCATGGATCAGTTGAGGTTTCCTGAGCCAATCCTTGCGAATACAATGGAGGACATATGTACGCAATAAGAAAATTCCCAGAAAATTTTACGATAATCTTGTTCGGCATTGAAAGAGTGTGTGTGATTTCCTCGAGTTAGTGATCCGTGGGAATTGACCCATGTGCACAGCGCACTAACCTCCGCGTGTCGCCTAGTTT